TCTTTCCCAATAGAATCGCCAAGGCTTCCTCCATAGGCAGAATCTGGTTGTCGTTGTTGACAAGGAAGATGTCCCAAACCGGACTCAGCTTCTCGAGTGAGATTGGGTCCATCACCCAAACTTCTATGGGAGGTGGAAGACTTAGATTGTACACTCTTGCCATGGTTTGCAGATCTAATTGGCTCCCCCATACTTTTATTTCCCATCTTGCTACGTGTTGATTTAGGATTAAGAGAAACCTTATCTGTAACAGTAGATTTCGGGTCCTCCTGCACCAACATATGATTCAAGTTAGTTTGTGATTGTTGAAAATTATTTGAACTAACCTGGTTGTCTTTCTGTTGAGGCCCAATATGTTCTTTCTGAATATTGGGCCCAACATCAACCAAAGAGTCGTTTTGAGTAACGGCTACATCATTAAATGCCCTATCCACCATGTCGTTAGACTTAGATCCTATAGGTTTTGACCCATTCATGGCCTTAGTGAGTTGACTCACTGAGTTGTCCCCCTGAACCTTACTCTGCTTCTCATGAACACTTGAGTTAGAATTAGCTTTATTGCCATTCTTCTTCCGATTTCTCTTTCTTTCCACAAGCATCCAAGGACCAAAGGACTGTTGATCAGTCGACACATCATCTATAACAACCATAGGCGTTAATGAAGGTTATGGGAGATCCTCCTCCATGGTATTAGACACAGGGGAAACCTTTAATGGGCCTGAAGTCTCTTTGTGCTCGACGCAACCACACGAAAAACAAAGGGCAACTGGGCCCTCATATAAGACTTTTTGGACGTGAGTACCAATTCTAACATAAGGAACCAATGGCTCATCCAAATCAACTTGAATGCAAATTCTAGCATATTGCCCCCTGGATTGGGAGGCCGTATGAGCATCTATACGTAATGGAGTTCCTAAAAGCTTCCCAATTCGTTCCAAAATTTTTACATCATAATATTCAATAGGAAGTCGAGGTAATCGAGCCCAAATCGCAGTAGTAGTAAAAGCTGCTTTCTCAGGATTGAAGGCCGGTTCCCATTGGCAAATAGTTAAGTAATAAGGTCCGACGAACCAGGGACCTCCATTGATGACCCGCAAGAGGTCATCTCTTTCTTGAAATCTAATGAGGAAAAAGTCATAGCCCAAGTCGATACAATCCATTCGGCCCCTTGGTTTCCATTGCGCTTTAATCCTGGGGTAAATGAAATTGTAACCAGCTGACTCGGTACCAAAAGCCTTAATTATAATGGAATTAATCCATGGCGTGCGAATGCGTTTCTTTTCCTCTTTTGAGATTAGGATTGTAGGGATGGATCCGTCATCTTCAGTATCAGATTCCTCCTCCAATAATTCCAAATTGATCAGTGTATCATGACTGATCACAATTGGTTTGTGCCAGATAACTGAGTCCCTGTACGAGAGTGGTGGTTGCAGCTCTTCCACCATTTGAAAATCTTCAGAAATTGGTGAATGATTCGTCCCTTTGATTCGCTTAACAGATCTAGACATGAGATCAGCTTCCTGAGATGAAATATGCAGATTTGAATTTGAGGACATGGAGAGAGAATTGAGAGAAGGCAAGACTGATGGTAATCCTTTTCTAATAGAAATAAAAGGTTAGTTCTAGTTGCACACCATGTGGATGAAATATATAAAGTAATAAAAGGAAATTACCTCTCATATGCAACTCAAAATGAAAAAAATTAAATTGATAAAATATTGATATTTAATATTTAATAAATTAAAATTAATTAATAATTTGATATTTTTATATATCATAATCAATTATTTAAGAAATAAAAAAAATTCTAATATATACCTCTAAGGTATAGGTTTAAAAAGCAATTAATATACTTTTTGACAATTAAGTTACAATGAAAAAATAAAATTTAACTTTAATTCTAACAACTAAGTAATTAAATTAATACACGTGGTATTGATGCCTAAAAGTAATACTCTTTTTGTTCATTTGTAGTAGATTTAGATTTCTTGTCCAATAAAATAGAGTTGTAATAATTTATTAATAAAATTTCATATTTATCTTAATTAAGTACCATTTAAATAAGATTATTTATCCTAATTAAGTACCATTTAAATAAGATTTCTTGTTAATTTGTATTGTAATTATTTTTTTTAAATCAACTTTTTTTTTTATCTTAGATTGTATAATGAGAAACAATCTTTTCTCATCCATTTATTTATCCTACTTATATATCATACGATTTAAATTCAAAATCTCTTATTTTTACTGTGAAGAAATTACTATTAAGTTACATGGTCATTGGCTATTAAACTTATGTTGTTTTTATTTGACTTTTTTATTTTTCAAACATTAATTTTAATTTTCTTTAACTCTATCGTTATTTATTTTCCTTAACTATTTATTCTATTAAAAAATGTTTTCATTTACTTTAAATATCTTTTATTTCTCTTTT